GGAGTGGGGGGGTGCCCAGGGCGGGCAGAGCCGGAGCTGGAAGGAGGTTAGCAGCTGCAGGCCAGGGGTGGCAACCGCAGTGGACACAGCTGGTCTGGAGTGAAGACTGCTCTGGAGCCGCACGCTGGCCATGGCCGCACCGCTGGGTAAACAGCCGGAAGTCGTCCCGCTGAATCCCCTCCTGGGGCTGGCGTTCCGGCGCATGAATTCTCTCTCGGCGAGAAACCTACCTGGGCGTGAAACACGCAGGTAGGAGGGCTGTGGCCCTGGGGGCCACCAGCCTCCGGCACTGGGGACAGTGGCTTCTCTTCATGCACGTGCAGTTCCCGAACCTGCTGCGGAGCTGAGACGGCGGACTGTGGCCTGTCACCAACGCCGCCATCTGGCCACGTCGGCCCTTCCTGTGGCATGGCCCTCACATTCACACAGGCTGAGGGCCGAAGCCCGCTCTGGTCAGACACACCCCAGGACACCTGCTTCCTGCCCGGGGTCCTGACCCTGCCCGCTCGGGGTCCTGGAAGTCAGAAGCCCCCGCCAGGCTCTGTGCGCACCCTGCTGCCCGACCGTGAGGCTGCCCTCTGGCCTTCAGGCATGGCCACCCAGGCCTCAAGGACAGGGTGAGGGACAGTGCAGCCCCTGCCTGGCCCTCCTGGTGGTGCCGCTAACCTCAATGAACCAGGCCACCCACCCACCCAGCTGTGGGACGAGGCTGCGGGAGGGAAGGTGTGGGGCCCGCAGACCCGGTACCGGGGACCCAGCGAGTGTTGAGGCCAGAACCTGGGCATTAGCAGATTGTCCAGCCAGTGGACCCAGACAGGCTGCATGAGACCCTGCGGTGGCCACCCTCGACTCAGGCCAACAGGACCGAGCACGCCTTGGGGCTCTCTGGGGCCCCCAGGAAACAGAACCCCGCCTGCCAGGTAGGGAGCGGCACCCAGGAGACACCCGCAGTGCCAGCACTGCCTCCGGGTTGCTCCAGACAGCACCTGGGGAAGTACAGATTGGCCCGTGGCCCCCACACCCAGGACTCCCCCAGACCCTGGCTGGGAACCCCTGCCACTCAGAACTCAGGGCTACAAGTGGCAAAGGCCAAAATTAAAATTATGCAAGGCCAGAAGGGAGTGTCTTGGCTCTAGGGCCCAGAACGTCCATAGAAGACAGCTTCAGGTGTGGCGTGACCCAGGGCCTGACTCCCTGTGGCTGCGGCCATGGCTCCTGACCTCACACACACACGGCCAGCCTAACCCAGGGAAGGGGGTGGCAAGTCTGTGTCCCAGAAGCCACAGCAAGCCCTGCCCTCTGTACCGGCTCTTTGTGGGAGAGCAGCGTCTCAGGCTGTCGCTGTGACCAGGGCAACGATGCACTGGCCCGGTCCCTGGGTGTGGGGTGGCAGAAGGAGCACCAGGCACCACTCTGAGGGGCTGGGGAGCGGCGCGTCCACCACAGACCTGGACCTGACCTGTGGCCAGGGAAGCAGGGACGCGAGCAGCCGTCCCCACTCCCGGTCCCTCCGCACTATGGAATGCATACACGTCCCACACGCACTCCGTTCTCTCCCCCGACCACAGCCCCAAACGCCCAGCGCCTGCCCGAGCACCCCTCTGGGTTTCTTTCCACCATGTCTCCCTCGAGGCTTCATTACGCACCTTCTGTGCACCCGGCCCTGCACTGTCCCTGCCTCCGCATCCCTCCCTGGGAGCCCTGCTAGGCCGCCGCCCCGTGGGAGCAGCGGAGTTGGCGGATGTCTCCTGGAGCAGTGGACAGGCCACGTGGCTCAGGAGCAAGCACCCAGTTTGGAGCTGCAGGTCCCCGCTTGGGCCTGGAACCTTGGAGAAGCTCCTCCTCCGGCCTGGGCCTTCCCAGCCATCGGGAGGAGGGCGGAGCAGTGCCCTCACGGACGGGCCATCAGTGGCTCTAAATCAGGCAGGGAAAGCTGCTGTGGCTACACCCAGTGCACCAAGAGCTCTGTGGTCATCTGGCAATGTCTGTCTGGTGTGCAAGGGGGCAGCAGCCGAGTGTCTGGACCCTGAGTCGCTTCCTCCGTTCCAGGCACCTACATCATGACGGTCACAGCCAACGACGCCGACGACAGCACCACGGCCAACGGGATGGTGCGGTACCGGATCGTGACCCAGACGCCCCAGAGTCCCTCCCAGAACATGTTCACCATCAACAGCGAGACCGGGGACATCGTGACAGTGGCAGCCGGCCTTGACCGAGAGGTGAGGGGTGTGTCCACGCAGCACCAGGCCCGGCCGCCTCGGTGGGGCAGCGAGGGGCAGCTGGCTGCAGTCAGGGAGCCTCGCGGTGTGAGCCGGCATCGCCACGGTGTTGGGTGGGGCGGCACCCGTGAGGTTCCAGAACAGGCCCAGCTCACATGGGCAGCGAGGGTCGGGGCTTGCCGTGGGGCTCGGGTCTGTGGTGGTCTGGCCCCTCTGGGCCTGCACACACGGGCCTGCCTCGGAAACCCACCCTGTAGCCCCGTCTCTGGGTGCACCCGGGCTGAGCCGTCTTGGCCCCTTCTTTGGTGAAGTGGCAGGAGTGGGCGGGACAGGCGGGACCAGGCGCATCGGCCCCTGCACACGGGCTGTGACCTACCACACTGCCCTCCGGCGGGTCGAGACCTTGTCGCCCAGCTTTCCTACCCCCTCCGTTGCCTCAGGCCCCCCGGC